TATATATATATATATATATATTATTTTTTATTTTTGGTGCTCATTCCCCTAATTCAACAATATTAAGCGCTCAGTTATATAATTTGGGCCCAAGTTTACCAGTCATAATAAGAACAAATCTGCGAGAAAAGCAAATTGGCCACCATTTTCAGCAAATGCCACCATAGGATCCATCATCATCTTGTGGAATTTTGAGCTCACATCACTTGAATATAGCTATTAGTAATTGTAATTAAAAGAAAAAAACACAGGGTAAAGCATTTTAAGTGCACGCTGCAAATTGGACATTTAAATAATAAAATCTAATCAGCATATATTTACCAAGCATGAGAAAATTATAAACAATTTGGGGCATGTTATTGTAAAGCACTTGAATTAGGTAAACTGAGATTCTACACTTTATCTCTAACCAATGTAATGTGTATTTGAACATTACTGAAAGGTGTTGTTTCACACACCCTAGCACTCCATCAGCTCACCTACACTCCTGTTGCCAACATGTCAGCCACATCAAGGTGCTCACTGTTATGATAATCCCTCAATTTCCTACGTAAATTGACTTCATTGGAAACAACCTTTTCGATTAAGAAATCCCCACAAACTCTATAAACATCGTGATTTTGACAAACCGGAATTCGTAGATTTTTAGAGAATCGAAAGAGATACTTCGCGATGAAGGAGCATGTCCCAGAGAATGAGACGAAAAGAGAAAAAAAAGAAAAAAAAGGTTAACAAGTTGCAGTACAAGAGATGAGATTTGAAATTTTTTTCAATTCATTCAAATTTATTGGGATTTTAAATTTTTATATGCAGTTTATTAGAAAATCATCTTTAGATTGGCATATGAATTATAAGGATTAGGTTTTCGTTGGATACATATAGATTTGAATAACAAATTTGATCTTATCAACCAGTCCCATTTTTGTAATTAAATTTTCAAATTTAGGGGAAATTGATCACTGCTTAATGAATTAGCTCAAAAATATTTACTTGTCAAATGTTAAACATACACAATCACGATAAAATAGTAGGATTGGAGAGATCTTTGCCTTGCCAAATCACAAACCTTTTAGCTGATGGCATGCAAATTGTAAGTGTTCTTATGGTTTGATATACAAGCAAAAAATTGAACAAAGAGTTGTTTTTTTAAGTAGAAGGTGGAAGTTCATATATAGCACTTGGCGCATTGGATTTATTGAGATCGTATTTCAAGTAAATTTCAAATAATCTCATCCAACATAATGTAAATAAAATAAGTTTGATGGGCAAATGTGACGAGAAAAAAGAGGGAATGAGGTGGTGTGCTACTGAGTAATAGAAAGAGTAAAGGGGCATTTACATAAATATCACCAATTCATATGCTTTTACAAATCTAATAGCTAAACTTTGATTTTACATTCGTACCACCCAAATATTTCATATCAGATCAAAAGTACCACTATTTAAGTTTTAAAAAGTGAAAAAGACTTGAGTGGTGTGTACATATATCTTCCAAGAATATATAGAATTAGAAAAAGAGAACATGGTATGGGGCATACGAATGCACTGAAACCAAAACTCTGAACAAACCAATTGATAAAACATAAAGATAAGCAAAGGCTATAAAATGTACATTCAGGATAAAAATATTCATTAATTCTCCTGATTAGAAAAACGAAACCTGCTTGTCTGGAGCAGAAAATTCCTCATAGCTGCCATAATAATTGGGATTCAGCATCCATGTTGGTTTAAAAGGTTCTAGTGCAAGGAAATGGCCATCATGGTGTGCCTTATATGCATATTCTGAACTGTGAAACTTGCCTTCATCGCCCGTTTCATCAAATGAAGTTGGCTATGGGAAAAGAAAAATAAGATTATACAAAAAGCAGCAACATTTAGTCATATTCAAATTTATAGCACAACAATGTAACAACAATATGTTGATCAACGAAGCCATTATCATCAAACATTACTCACCCATGCAGAACTAGGAGAATATGATTCTCTGTCAACCTCATAATAGTCTGATATCTGAAACAATGAAAAATAGATGCTAATAAGCCTATTAAGTCGCAATACATTATCATGGGAAAAGAGATGCAAAACGATTAAATAAATAAATTTCAGCCTTGAGTATCTCTGAAGAAGTATAAAAGTTCAATAGCTCAGTTTAACTATAAAAAACCAGTTTTACTTAATGTTGTCTTAACATACAATAAATCAGAATGAAATCTAATGACCAGCCTTAAGGACAGACATTTGGACAAACTCAATAGGGAAGTTAGACTAATAAAAAACTGAAAAAGAAAATAGTAACATAGTACCTATTCAAGCTGAGAATTGGCAACTGAGCAAAATTTTAATATATACTTCCAAACTAAGTCGAGTCTACATAATCTATCTGGCAAAAAAAGGCAGGGTGGTGGGGGCGCATTTGCATACATATGACATAACTCTTATGGATTTACATATCTGACATCTACTTTGATTTTTACAATTCTAACACTCAAAAAGCTTTTTTATCAAGTAAAAAATACCACGATCATTAACTTTTTAAAATTGAAATACAAATTTTGAGGCATATGTAAAGTGTTATTGCTAAAAATATTAAATTTTAGATGTTAGATACGTCGATACTCAAGAAATGTGTGGCATGCATGTAAATCTTCCAAAAAAAAAAAGGCCATGAAGTCTCACAGGTTGGGAACCAGAATATACATCTTCTTCAGAGATCCTGTAGTTTCCAGAATACCGAGCCCAAGTTGGTTTGTAGGGTTCAAGCTCAAAATTGCTTGGCTGATGGTAAACTTGTCTTTGATAGTCATGATAAACATTAGTAAATTCATTTCTCTCCTCTCCATGAATACCAAACAATGGTTCCTACAAGCAAGAAATACAAATTAAGACAATCTGAAATATTGAACTCATTAAGATGGTTGTACAAAAATGATAAGGTGCAACGAGTATTCACCGAGTTAGAATTCGTATGAGAAAATTCTTCATGATAACTCAATTGCTGAAATGAACTCTCAACTGGCTCTAGCTGAACATTTAGGGCACCACTGTAATAGCGTTTATTGTAGGCCATTTCCAAGTTTCCATTCAAATTGACCTCATTCATGCTCTCACCATAAGACAAGGGAAACTATAGACAGATAAACAGACATTAAAACTGAAATAAACAGTAGTTTCAATTACCCATTTTCTTTCAGTATTCCAAAAAAACACAGACTCAACTGAATCAACTTCAGCTTCAAACGACTCTTCAGAGTGATGCTGCGGATAGGCATGAGCTGAACGGCACAATCTATGGTTTTCATCTTCCCAGTTATTATAAGTAGAAGACCACTGTAATCAAGGTAAAAAAGCTGTTAAACCTTACTTGAGAAGAAAATAACACGAGACACAAAGAATCATGAATCAGGTTAGCGAGCTCACTCTTTTAGAGTTATCGTGATATTCCAACTGCTCAGTCCTCGCAGGCTGGATCTCCACATTGACAGTATCGCTCCCACGCAGTTTGTAAGCGTAGATTGGAATCCCATAACTATCCACTCCAATTGTCCTCTCACCAAACCCTTGCGAATATCCGAAGATGTACTCGGCAGCCCGCCTCAACGGGCTCCAATATCTCATCTCTTCTGCGTCATAACTACAACCCCCAAAACCATTCATCGCGAAGGGAGAAAACCCAGAATGATTCCACCACCATTCCGCAGAGGTAAAGCCCCGTTCGCCATTACCATAAGAAGAGTCATAAGCGGGATCGGCTCGGTCGTCTTCACGCTCGTCAGATATTGAGATAGCTCTCTCACTGGCATCAGAAGAAGCTGGATACTCCATCGGAATTAAAGGAAGCGGCCCGTTCGGTGGGAGAGTTGGATGCGAGGAGGAGTCGGATAACGGGTAGCAGATGGCGGAGAGTGGAGGAAGCGGATCGCCATAAGTGAGAGCAATATCATATCCCCCTTGGTAAGGATGGGGATTGTATTCTTCAAAATCTTCGGTCTCGTTAAAGTCGGAGATCCCGTCGGCCATGTCGGCGCCCTCGCGTGAACTCGGTGGGTGGATGAATGATAGCTTTCTCGAAGGGAAGAATGACTAGGGTTTAAGCCTTTGAAGATATTTTGGATCTCACTTGTGACGATGGAGCCAGAAATCACCCCGGTGTCAAAAAGAGCAGAAGGGATAAGGCGGATCGATGGTGGGGAATGGAAGGAAGCGGGAATAGTTGGCTGCTGCAGAAGAAGAGATCCATAATGGTGTGTGGTGTTTGACGGTACGCCGGAAAGAAAAGCAGGGGAAATGGGTCCGGGGGTTGTAAGTTACAGTTAGTTTATAAATAAATTATAGGAAGGTTACAGGGCTATAATACTGATATAATCTTTAATAGTCTTCCTGAAGTATGCAAATTTTTCTCATCCGCAGTTGGAGACGGAACACAGTGCTGAGAGAACAATGAGAGTTATATCCATGTTATAATTTTTGTAATTTATCCGTAGCCTATTTGTAATTTACTTGTAACATACAAATATATGAAAACAGAACCGTAAAATTTACTAGAATGTACATATAGGTTACATGGAGGTTACAAATGATATAACATGGATATAACCTCTCAATAACCTCTCTATATTGACGTACACAGATATGCATACGTATTTTTATGTACGAAATTATTTCCTTGAGATGGGTGCCTGTCCTTGTCTAAAAGGGGAACCTGCGATTCTATCATGAATTGCAATATAGATCTATATATTTATTTGGATATTTTGTTAATTAATAAAAAAATAATTGTACCTATCTAATATTTTGTGGAGAAGCAAGACAACAAAAAAGCGGCATTAGCCGCTGCCCATCACTTGATAGATATGTAATACCTGCCGCTCGCATGACAAAATATTTTGTTTGTACTATTAATTATCGGCTGTATTCATCGATGAGATGTATGATAATGCGACGCACAATGAGAAACAGTTATTTTTTCCTCTACATTTTAAAGATGAGGTAGATAATAATAACAACAACAATAATAATAATAAAATATTAAAAAATTCTTATATATATATATATATATATATATCCTTAATATTTAAGTTAAATCCCATTTAAATCTATTACCTACAGCCTATTAGAGATTAGGATATTAATCATACTAAAATAAACTTTAGGGAATTTAAATGATTTCTATAAAAATATATAATTATTAGTATGTATATAAATCCCCTAAGAAAATGTGTTTTAATATTGTGCTCTTAATTTACACATCATGTGCTGCATTTAATATAACTGATGCGTGCTGGAAAATTTGCGGTGGTAGAGTGATGAATTATCGTCTTAGCGTTGCACGAGAATTCTACACACCTTATTTTGGAGCAAGACCATTTTATTTGTCCAAGATCTAAAGCTTTTTTATTTTTAACGGGCATATGCGTGTCTATGTGTCTATATATATTTAATACTTTATTACTATGATATTTAAATAACAATAATTTAAATTTATATATATTATAACAACTAAATTTAGCTCAATTCATTGTTGGTTTTGCCGAAAGAAGGTCAGAGGTTATATATATGTATATATATACATATATATGTATATATATATATACATATATATAATGAGGGAATTTGAAAGGTCAAATAATATGACTATGAAAAGAAAATTTTTCTCTTTTTTATTTATAACGAGTGAATTTGAAAGACCAAATAATGCAATATGAAAAGAATTTTCCTTTTTCTCTTTTTTTTTTTAATTTACAACAAGGGAATTTGAAAAACCAGATAATGGAATATGAAAAAAAATTTCTGTTTTCACACTTTTTTGTTATTTATAACGAGGGAATTTGAAAGGCCAAATAATAGAATATGAAAATGATTTTAATTTTCTCTGTCCTTATTTAATGAAAAAATAATTTGTCATAAATATAAGAGATTTTTTAGCCTATAAATAGGTCAAGAAGAGGAGAAAAATGTGGAGTCTCTATCCCTGTCTAGCAAATGATATGGGATTTCCCAAGAAAAGAAAGCCGTCACCGTCCTGCGTAGCAGACAAGCAACATGATCTTTTTTCTCGTTGCGACGAAGAGGGAAGTCGTCCCCGTTCTGCATAACAGGTAAACGACATGATCTTCTTTCTCATTACAGTGAAGAGGAAAGTCGTCCCCGTCATGCGTAACAAACAAACAACGAGATCTTCTTTAGCAGGCAAACAATGCGATCTTCTTTAGCAGACAAGCAATGTGATCTTCTTTTTCATTACGGTGAAGAAGAAAGCCATCTCCGTCCTATGTAGCAGACAAGGAACAAGATCTTCTTTTATGTTGTAACTAAACATTTAAATGGAGATGAAGAAATGCTATAGTTTTATCGTCACACTTTGAAGGGGGAGAATCACATGCTTTGTATCGGTTCTTGTTGGTGTTTATAGCATTTTTAATGATCTGATGTGACATTTGTAGAAGATAATGTATTTCTTTGTACGTTTTTTATGTTGCTTCTAAGATTGTTGTGGGTTCTTTGTCGCACGAAATTTTGCAGTTAAAGTTAGCACACACATTTTTTAAAATGAAGAATCACGTACCTTTTGAAGCTCGTGCCTTCTGAGGTTGTGCCCTCTCGGGCTTATGCCTTATAGAAGCTTGAAATGAACTGGTTCCTTCTAAGGTTCATAGCCTTTTGAGGATTTTTATGTACTTGTGCCTTCTGAGGTCTTTGAGTGGAGACCCTGTTAACCACTTGCTCTCGTAGAGTTTTTCTAGTGAAGACCCTGTCCACTATTAGCTTCTCCTCAAGTCTTGCTTCTTGGGCTCGTCTTCTAAGAGCATGGTTGAAAGGAGAAACCATTAAAGATGTAAGGCTTCAAGTTCTCTCTCAAGCTTCAAGCTTTCCCCTCATGAGAGGGGTGGGGCTCTATTTATAGTGTTATGGATGCAATTAATGCAGAAATATGAATCATTTTGATCGGACTGCCCAGAGAGCTTCCTTTAATAAGACAACGTTTGATGGACATTTGGGTGCTTTAACGATGTTAAAATTGAACAATCTTGGGCTTGTTGGATTCTTGTCGGGATGCTCGATTCGACTATGAACTCTCCAGATTCGACATCCGTTTGACCTAACAAATGTGTCTGGAAATCTTCGAAGAGTGGTTTAATGACTTGATCTGGGCTTGATTTAACTCTGAATAGAATAGTTCTTATATCATTGTGTCTGTCTCATTGAGCTGGTTAGTTTGATCATATGTTTGTTGAAATCATTGTTTTGGATGACTCAATTGAAGTTTGAATGTTTATTGTTCAAAAGATTGCATCAAGATTCGTGTCATGTCTCGTGATTCATATCAGATGATAAAATTTATTGGTGGCGTATCAATAACAAAATTTTCAAATTGTGTAAATAAATTTAAAAGAGAAGAACAATAAAAATTTTAAACATTCTTAAGTACAATAAAGTACGAACTGAGCTGACGTGTAATGGTTAGAGAAGTTTCCTTATTTTAGGAAAAAAATGTTCTATCAGAATGTCTGCACGTCCGGACGATAAACCACCGACCGCCACATCGCCCGCCTATGAGTTGTATGACGACATTGTGCTCGGTGATTGACCATCCGGACATGCAGTGTCCAACATAATATTTCTTCTTATTTTGGAGACCCATATTCAAGTTCGCTCACCAGTCCAAAAAAAAATAAAATAAAATAAATAAATAAATAAGAGTTTTGTTGTACAATCTAAAAAATTAATTATACTTTTCATTTAAAATAATAATCTATTTTGATTGAAAAATGTTTGAAACAAAAAGGTTTGTAAAGTTTTTCATAATCCGTTACATTATGTGACAAAATGCCTTATCAGATCAAGAGTAATTATAATCATTTATTTATTTTAGACCCTCAAGATTTTTAATCTTATATCAAAACTTAATGAATAGCCAACAAATTTTTTTAAAGATAAATAACTTCAACTATATTTGATTTATCATTTGACATATTCACATTTTAATACCATTATGACATACATATGACAACTCTTTTGGATTTACATATCTGATATCTAAACATTGGATTCACCTTCCAAGCATTACCACTTATTCAACCTCCCAAATGCAACAAGAAGTAGATCTTTCTTAGGAACATCGTCGAGGGGATTTGACACATTCTCTATCACAACACGTGAGAGTTGATTAACGTCTAACAACACTTAATAGATCCAAACTAGAGAGATCATAAAGCAAATAAGGAATGAGAAGAATCCAATAACAACTTTATAAAAATCAAAAGTACAAAAATTAAAAGAATTTAATTATTAAATCATTGATTATGCTAAAAGCCATCTAAGTTTAATATTAAATTTTCTTATTCTTATGGTATTATCACTTTCTGAGAGTAAGAGAAACTTGAAACCAAAATGTGCTTAACAAATGTGCCAATGTGGATGCCAAGGAGATAACAGTCGAGAAGCAAGAAGTATGACAATGTAAGACTCACAGACAGAAGACCATAAAGCTCACTTGTTTGATCGAGTGAAATTGTCCGAACCAAAGCCAATACAACCAAAGCCAGTCGCAAAAGCCAGTCGACCCATGAAATAGACTAAAGACGATCAGTTGATACAAGAACGAGCCTTTTAATCGAATATAAAACAAAAGGCGATCCAAGCCAACTATCAAGAGTCGATCCAAGGAAGATTCAGTTCATATCAACCTCCCTCATACCCTCTCTCCTTCTGTTCATACACTATTCCTTGGATTTGATTCACGAATAAATCAGAATTCAACATTAAACTTGATTAAATTTTCATGTTTAACCTTCCAAACATGACTGCCTCGACAGCTTCTACCAAATTAAAGCCTCCAGCCAGATTGTCTAGCAAGAAGCATTCTGCTGAGAAGAGCCTCCCTGTAACAAGCAATAAGACTGAAAAGAGCCCACTCGGTAAAATTTAAACCGCATATAATGTCAAAAATTTTTGAAATAAGTGTACGCATAGATATAAATCAT